AGTAATCGATATTGTTTTTATAAAACAACATGTCTTTTTAATAAAACAACATGTCCTTTTTAATAAGATAATCAAAGAGATATTCCTTATCCTTTTTCAAATTCTTAACTATCTAGTCGAAGTATTAATAGTTTTAGCCAAATAATATGATTTCAAAGTCTTGCTTCAAGTCCATTAGCATTTCTTTTACAAATGGACGATAATTTAAGTACAGCTATATAGAATAAGATTAATTATATCTCATATACCTTATTTTTTCTGTCTCCATTGCTATTTAGATAAATTATTTTATCATAATCATTCATGTTTTTACCCTTGAAAAATACTTAAAGCAGAGTCCTTTCAAGATCAAAGACGATAGTCTCTGTAAACAATAAATTTAACAGCAAAATGCAATACTTTTATTGGAATTTTTTATAACACTTTTCATTAAATTAATATCTTTTGTTCCCATAGCCATATGCTATTGCCTAAAATTTTAAATTATTTAGTTAATTTACTTTCCATTTTTAAGAAGTTTTAGCTAAATTTGCTGCAATTTTTATTTTTCAAACCTAAGCTTTCCCTCATTCGACTTTGAATGAGCCTTACAAAACTCAATCTCAGTAAGATACTTTGATTTTTCATCAGGGTCAGATAAAAAATACTTGTTATAGCTCTTCTAATGTAAATTATCCTTTGTCTTGATATTCATAGTCTTAGTCATTCCAAATCTGACTCTAATGCCTTCTAGAAGTTATTTTCTTGAACTTTTACGCTATAAGACAGAATAGAAAAGTAACAAAGAAGCCATTTCTATTTAATAGGAGTGTAAATCAAGAATAAATTAAAATAAATGTCAACTGCAACTAAAGGATAATTAAAACCTAACTCAGCCAATGGTGCTGCTACAGTGAAAGAAGTTATTTCTCAAAAGTCTCAATTCACATTCTTAATGATAGGTATTGTAGCAATAATAGGAACCATTAGATTTATTATGGAGTACGGAAGTATCATTAATTGGATGCAAACTAACTTTTAGGAACCATCTTACGGGTGGCCATCATTCAAAGATTTCTACATTACTTTAATTTTCGGAGTATTTTCTGTGATAGCAAACTCAATAATAAATATGTTCACCTACAAGATGTTCTACAATGTGTGCAAGGAGAAGAATAATGAAGATATTAGAGTAAGCAAGACAATCAAGTCCTGTAATAGTCTCTATAAGAGTATCTACTTCATTCTTGTTACTATTTGGGGTTATTAAACACTCAAGGATGAACCATACCTTCCAAAAGAGCTATTTGGCAAGGGTCACCTTTAGTTTATTAATGATAATTACCCAGTACAAGTTTGGCCAGTTGGTCTTAGGTGCTATTACCTAGGAACTATGGGTTATCACGTACACTAGCTATTCGCGCACGCTCTCCACCCAATAAGAAATGACTTTATAGAGATGTTTTTGCATCATGTAGTGACGTTGACACTTTATGGAGGATCCTATTTAATCAATGAAACTGCAGCTGGAAGTGTCATTATGTTCCTCCATGACTGGGCTGATATCTTCACCAGTCTAGTCAGATGCTTTACTGAGACCACTTTAGTCACCTGTTCAGTTGTATCAGCAATTGGAATGACTGTGAGTTGGTTCTACACAAGAATTTATGTTTTCCCCATGACAATATACTATTCTTGCTTCGATAGAGATATTTACCACGGAGCCAAATTCTATGGTGACAAATACTTCGGGTCCCTGTTAATTATTCTCTACATTCTCCATGTATACTGGTTCTTTGTACTACTCAAGAGCATCCATAGATTCACAAAGCTAGGAAAGACTGATGATCTCCAATAGAGAGTAGAGGCAAAGAAGACATAATGAAGATAAATATATTAGATAAACAAAGACAGTAAGAATGATAATAGATTATTTCAAAATTTGTTAATTATCAATTAAGATTTACTACCAACGTCACACCCCACTCCCTAATTAATAAAGATTTTATCTATGGGGTTTTGGGGTTTTGGGGTTTTGGGG